CCAGGTAAAGGTGTTGGGAATGAGGGTGCTGAATTTCTGTCTCTAGGTTTTCCATGAAGAGGTTGGCAAGCACAGCACTGAGCGGGCTGCCCATTGCCATCCCAAAGCACTGTTTGTAACAGTTGGCCTGATACTTGAAGAAGTTGAAATTAATACAAAGATCCACTAGACTGATGAAATCTAAAAGAGGTAAAGGGAGGCCGTGGTTTTCAGTGAGCCTCTTTCTCAGAATGTTGATTGCAGCGTCAGTAGGAACGTTGGTAAAGAGGGCTGTGACATCGAGGGAAGCCATGTTTTTGTTTTTAACATTCAGGTTGGAAATTTGGGAGAGAAGGTCACTTGAGTGTTCAAGGTGGGCTTGACTGATGGTGCCCAGAAGAGCTGAAAGGTATTTGACAAGGTGGCCGGCTAGTCTGTGTGGTGCACTCCTTATGCCTGAAGTGATAGGCTGTAGTGGGATGCCAGGCTTGTCTCTCTTTGAAAGGCCATACAGGCGTGCTGGTTTCGGTTGACCTGGTAAAAGTTTAAATAGTTTTTTGCCTTGTTCTGGTTTTTGTAAGATGCTACAAGCCTTGTGAAGAAAAATCTGGGTACTTTGAAGCAGCACTGATTCTGATACAGGCTGGTATGTGTTAGCATCATTGAGAAGATTTAAAGCTTTATTGTTGTAGTCGACAGTGTCGAGTAACACCACACTTCCTTTGTCAGCGGTTGTAATGACGATATCATTATTGTTAGCAAAGTCCCTGAGTGCTTGGATGTATATTCTGGGAATGACCGGTCTTGAAGGCTCAGTAGCTGCAGCAGTGATAATTCCTTGAACAAAGCCTTTTTGAAACTCAGAGTCTCAGTGTGTTCTTTGTTGGTTATTCCAGCATCAATGTGAGTCCCATTTGGGTCAAAAGTAATCTGACCTCACAGCGTCTCACCGCACCTCGCTTGTCCCAAGCATAAAGGAAAAGCTGACCTAGTATTTTTCCCCTCCTTGCCAAACTTCCACTAGGAAGCAAAGCAGAATGGGTGTCTTGCATGGATTGATTTGATTTCCATTATTTCTTATGGGGAAAATTAATTCGACTTTCGACATTCGATAGCTCTCAGGAACAGATTAGTATTGAATGTCGAGGGTCCACTGTACTCTGTTCATGTCTTGACAGACCATACCTTTATTCCAAAGCAAACAGCCTACTGGAAGGTTAGCCAGATGGACCTTGACTATCCAAGAGTTCAATCCTACCTTTGAACACTTACCTGGCAAGTCAAATGTAGTCGCAGATGCCTTATCGCGACACGTTAGTATAGTAACTGCAGACCTTCCATGTGGTCTGGTGTGATTTGATTCCTGCTCCAGGAAGATCTTATTCTGACTGTGAAGCCATCAGTGACTTCATCATGAACCAAGAATTGCTGTATCGAACAGCCGAGTTGGGCACTCCTAGAAGAAGGGTATACCAGTTAGTAATTCCACAGTCACTAGTGAATGCAGCCTTACAGCTAATTCACGATGTACCAGGTGTTGCACACCCTGGTATGGATAGTTCAGTAAAACAAGCCAGATTGAAATACTCTTGGCCTCGTATGTATTTCTGAGTATGTTAAGAAATGTAGTGTCTGCATGCAATATAAAGATAATGTTAATGGTCCTAATCCAATCCAGGTGTATCCAACTACTAGCGAACCGTGGGAAAGAGTTGCGCTTGATCTGTAAACTAATTTCCAATGTTCCCTCCAAGGCAACAAACATCTGTGTGTTATGGTAGACCATTTCACCAGATATTGAGAGTTAGTTCCTATTGCAGATAAGACTGCTGAGACAGTAGCAAAAGCGTTTAAAGAACACATTATCTGCAGGCATACCACCCCTAAGTCCCTAATAACAGATAATGGAGGGGAATTCTGTAATGAGATTCTTGAAAATTTGTGTACCTTTTACAAGATCTCAAAATCCACCATTGTTCCTCATCATCCTGCCAGCAATGGGTTAGAACGAACTAGTAAGTACTTGATATCTTTAGAGCTGCTATCAATCTCAACAGTGAAACCTGGGATGAAGTTATACCTGATGTTCAGTGTGCCATAAATTCTGCTTACAATGTTTCTATAGGTGACACTTCACATTATGCATTGTATGATGTAGATAAACATTTGCCTTATGAGTTGTTAGTCTGACCCAAAACCAAATAACAACCCTGATGATTTCATAGCAACTCGTACCAGCTTAGCTCAGTGTTTTTCATAGAATCTGTGAAACACTTCATAAATCAACAGCAGAATTTACAAGAGTCACTAACATTTGAGCAAAGCCATCCAAAATTACAGTAGGTTCGAGAGTTATGCTGACTAACTTTAACAAAACGTCTGCAATGCCTAAGCTTGATGAGAAGTTTGTTGGTCTTTATCGAGTAGTTGAACATATCAGTGGCAATAAGTATAAGGTTAGAGAAATTAGTACTGGTCAGTATAAAGAATTGCATTTAGATCACATGAAGTTAGTATGTGATGATAATGATGTTCCAAGTCAGACTAATGTGACACTCTGACAATCCTCCTGATCCTGCACCCTCTACCTCTAATACTCAGTCGGATGATCAACCTGAATGTCGTTATTCCCTACGTACACGACAGGTATTGAGAAATCCTCAAGTATCATTTGTAACTACCAATTCAGACCTGACAATCCTCCTGATCCTGCACCCTCTACCTCTAATACTCAGTCGGATGATCAACCTGAATGTCGTTATTCCCTACGTACACGACAGGTATTGAGAAATCCTCAAGTATCATTTGTAACTACCAATTCAGACCTGTGTCAACCATGGCATGAGTTCATCAGTGCAACAGAGTTTGATCCTCCCAGAGATGACACCCATTCTGCATATGCCAATCTCACCCTAGCAGAGTTGGGGTTAAATGTAAATAACCTGTATAGATGAATAATATAGTTACATTGTATTTCTACTGTCTGCTACAATATCAACTTATTAAACTTATTAATATTCAAGAATTTTTTTTTGTTCACATTCTTGTTGAATTCTGAGATTTAACAGTCTAGATTTGAGTGCACCAAGTCTGCCTTTTCTGTTAAACACTTCTTTCTTTGTACATATCCTTCCTCAGAATCCGTAGATCACATGAACACAGATTGATCGATCCAGTTTTTTTTTTATCACTTCTATTGTGTACTTCCAATGTTGAATCTCATTCTATGAGTTGTGCTATATCATAATTTGTAATGCATTACAGTAAGTTACATTTGCTTCCATTCCAAGATTCTCCTTATGTATCTTATGTTCAGTTGTTGTGTGCTTTGACATTTTATAGAACCAGTCCAAGCCATAAGCCTGTCGTCTCTAGTTTGTATTAGCTGTATGCCGGGACGACATACGTTAGCGTCGCCGAACTCCTGGTGGTACCAGTACAAGTAACCAGTTACCAGTGTCAGTAGTAGTGACTCACTACCAACCGTCTGTGTGAATCACCTTGTTATTCACTGTTACAGCTGACCCTAGCATGTTTTGAACCCGCTTACCCTCTAGGAACCATCTCATGAGTTAATCGAAGGATAAGGAGCAGAGATGCAGGTCAGGCTTGGCGCTTCCCATACTTTTTGTTTTAATATACTCTATTATTGCCTATGTGAGTATCCTTACCCAATTCCACGTTTTGGAACCCAATGGGACAATTTCAGTTATCACTGACTTTTTTCGTGAAAACATTGGCTCAGTTTTCGTTACTTTCTTCCATTCTCATCGGTGGTACGGAACATGCCTGGGTGTGCCTGCACACCCACAACCTCCTACACACGCATTCTGAGGCGGTGCCACTTTGTTTCTTGGCGAGTGAACATTATCCTGCGAGGTCATAGGAAACATTTGATAATAATTCGTTGTTTTTTGCACTTGTTTATTCTGTGTGACTGCTAAATAAGCCACCATGGGCCCAAAGAAAGCTGCTAGTGCCAATCTTTTGGTAAAGAAGGTGAGAAACATGATAGAATTAAAGCAAAAGGTGGGAAAAATACGAAAGTGGTGGTGGTAGAGGGTGGTAGTGATGATGGTAGAGGGTGGTAGTGGTTGTGATGGTCGAGATGATGATAGTGATGATGGTAGAGGGTAGTAGTGGTTGTGATGGTGGTAGTGATTGTGGTAGAGGGTAGAGCTGCAAGAGCTCTCTGGACAGTTTTTTTGTGTGACAGGGTCTCAGTGACTTGAGCTGGTCCTAGTGCCATTAAAAAACAAGGAAGGGAAGTAACCCAGGATAAGGACTTGGTACCTGAAGTCTTTATGGAAGGGGATTCCCCTTCCAAACAATAATCAATTGTCCTTCTCTCCCCTCCTCCCTGTCTTCCATACACCAACAAGTCTTCATTAAAGGTAAGTATGATGTTAAATGTTCATTTATGCATGTTATTAGTGCTTTATAATATATTTGTCATTCTTTTATGTATGTAAATCTATCTTTGATCTCTAAAAAAAAATAATTTTTTGTTAATACTTTTGGAAGTCTGGAAATGGATTAATTGGATTTATATTATTTCTTGTTGGGAAAATGGTTTCAATTTTTGTCAATTTCACATTTCGCCAGACTCTGGAACGGATTAATGACGAAAAGGGAGGGTCCACTGTACCTAGTTGGACGAATCTTATTGTAGCTAGCTGGCCCAGTGGCTAACGCATCGGTCTGGAGTTTTGTGACTCTGATCGCAGGTTCTAACCCCACCCATGGTATGGTTTGTTTGCATTTGTGTCATGATTTCATGGGTCATGTTAAATGGGAAAATATGAATGCAAAGCTATCAGTCATGTGTGAACAAAAATTTTTGTAAGTTAACCTATTCTTAAGAGTTATCCATAGTTATTAAGTTTTTCTGGAGAAATTCCTAACGAGTGTAGTTGAATTTTTTCAAAAAGGTTTCAGAATTATTTTAATAAATCTCAAGGCTAATGTATAAGTAATCAAAAAATGGTTTCTGTGTGTATTAATATGTATAATTGTAACAGGATGGAAGCTACAACCGGGATATTCCTGCACAGTACTGTGAAAATTTGAATACCCCGTTAATACAACAAAAGAAGAAACTTGATCAAACAGGCTTAGCTCTTGGTAATGGGTTGTGTCACACTTGTAATCTCAATCAAACTCTCAAAATTCGAGCATTAGCGGATTATACACCAATTCATCCTGATAACTACGATAAAGAAATTGAAGATTATAGGTAAGAAATCTTTATGTATTTGTTTTTCAAGATTTTTTTAAATTGATACTTAATGTAGTTAGTACCTTCTCCTGTATACATTACTAAAGTTAAAAAGAGAAACTTTTGTTTTCTTTTTGGGCTACCTTGCTTTGGTAGGATACGGCTAGTTTATTGAAAGAAAGAAGACTTAATATAGTAAAGATAATGGTTGACTCTGTAAATTTTGTCAAGCTAAGCTTTAAATATAAATCACAAAAGTTATAAATAAATTGTAGCATACAACTATATCCTTTAATGTTCAACCTGACTGTTTAAGTTATTGATAAATTTATTTTAATTTTAATTAAATTTAATTACCATGCTCTAATTTCAGAATGGCACCAGCAATTACGAATTAACCCTTTCAGGGTTTCTGACGTGCTAGTACAGCTTACACACCAGAGTTATTGACATACTAGTACCCCTAAATTCTAGTGCCTTCAAACCTAGTGAGAGAAAGCTGGTAGGCCTACATATGAAAGAATAGGTCTATATGGTTAGTGTGCACAGTATAAAAATATCCTACAGCGCATAATGAGAAAAAAAAAAACTCCGACCATGTTTTTGGTTTAAAACAGCGACTTTGCATTGTATTTTCGTATGGTATTTATGGTTGTATTTTAGTTTTTCTGGTCTCATTTTATAGAATGGAAGACATATTACAGAAATTGAGATGATTTTGATTGGTTTCATAATGAAAAGTACCTTGAAATTGAGCTCAAAGTAGCAGAAATGTTCGATTTTTACCAAAGTTCAAAAGTAAACAAATCATGCCAAGCGTTCAATACACGTCAACTGGTGAGTCTAATATTCTTTCACAAGTGCGCTGATATTATTTATACCATTTTTACACTAATGCAGTAGTCTGCATAACAGTAAATCTTCTATTTTTTGTAAGAATAAAAATTCAAAGTGGAAAGCAGAGAGATGTAAGAGGGGCATGGGGACGTGACTAATGAACAGAGAAAATGTTATTTTAGTGCCAGGAATGTCTGTCTTGTTTATTCTGGACCCTGTTTGCAAATTAGCATCTTCTGAAATTTGTGTGAAATTGACAAAATTGCAAAATTCTGACCACTTTATTGGATAGTTGAAATCAGTAAATGGGTGGTTTCTTGTACTCATTCAATAGAAAAAATGGAATTCTAGCAAAATAGATATGATTTTTGTCGCCTAGTACACTGGAATTGGCTGAAAATAAGACTCAAAGTGGGCGAAATCGCCAATGTATAAACATCAACGAGACCGCTAACTTCGCGAGAGCACAAATCTGTAAGTTTTCCATCAAATTTCATACTTTTGGTGTCATTATGATCAGAAAAAGATTCTCTATCATTTCATAAGAATTTTTTTTTTCTTTTTTCTGAAAAATTTTTGACCGTGAGAACGAGTTTAGGAGAGGGCCTCTCGACCCTGAAAGTGTTAGTATAGGCAGTCATGAGTAAACTGATGTCATTATTGTTAACTGCTTTATACACTTGTTATAACACATTTGTGTATGAAGCAAACAGAACTTGTACTGTCCAGTCTAGGTCTGCAAAGATAATCATACATCAACTTACAGGTCGGCCATCACTAATTCGGCAGTCAGTAATCCGGCACAAATTTTGGCTAGCATAATTTCAAATTTCTGGGTTGCTACACCAATTTGCTGCTACTGTTTGGTGGTGCTACTTGCTGCATAAATCATTCCAATTTCTTTTTCTCCATAAATGTTTGATTTTTGCCAAATTTCAAGAACAAACAAATGACATCACTGTCCTGAACATGTCCAACTGGCCGGTTTAATGCACAATCACTAATGGGTTGACATTATTTATACAATTATTACAAAAATGCAGTAGTGTGCATAGCAGTAAATCTTCTGTTTTTTGTGCAAATAAAAATTAAAAATGAAAAGCTACCATAATATAAGAGGGGCCTGGAGATGTGACTAATAAACAGAGAAAATGTTATTTTAGTGCCAGGAATGTCTTTTTTTTTTTCTGGACCCTATTTTGAAATTGGCATCTCTTGAAATTTGTGTGAAATTGGACAAATTACTAATTTCTGACCGCTTTATTGGGTAGTTGAGATAAATAAATGGGCGGTTTCTTGTACTCAGTTGACAGAATAGAAGGAATACTAGCAAAATAGATATGAGTTTGGTAGACTGGAATAATAGAATGGGCCAAAAATAGGGTGAAATCACCAATGCGTAAATATTGCCGTTGGCTTAACCCTTTAAGTAAGTAAGTTTATTCAGGTATACACAAATACAGTTACATAGAATTATCATACATAGCAGCATATGTGTAGAGAACCTAGGATAACCCAAAAAGTCAGACAGAGTGACTTATTTCCATTGGGGTCCTTTTACCTTATTATAATATAAAGGTTATAATATTTTCTTATTATTCTACAATGAAGATAACATCTTATTATCATACTAAAAAGACTATCTACTACACGAGGGTCATTAAGACTATCTACCATACGAGGGTCATTACTAGGAATAAGGTAAAATTTACACGTATGTTAGCTAAAAAATAGAAAATCATTCCCCTCCCTTTCTGTAGCTACATTCATCAGACACCTTTTGGCACTCTTCTTGAACTGGTTCATGCAATGACTGGCTTTGACATGTGCAGGCAGTCTGTTCCATTCCTTTATTGCCGTACAATAAAAGGTGTTTGAAGCCTGGCCAATGACTGTGGGTACTACAAAGTTGTGCTCTCTCCCCCTTGTACTATGATTGCTTTGGTTCCCAACCTTGACAAAATTGACAGCAAGATATTCTGGACATTGTTTGTGAGCAATTTTATAAACATGATTTAGCTTCAGTTGTTTTACTCTGTCTTCAACATTCAGCATATCCAACTGCTGTAATTCATCCTGGCCTACATGTTCTCTTGGTCCCAGCCCCAGGATGAATCTTAGGATTTTGTTCTGGGTGATTTGCAGTCTATCTTTCAGTTTTTTTGTCAAGGCAGAGTACCAAGAAGAGCAAGCGTAATCCATATGGCATTGTATAAGGGCTAGACATAGGGTCCTGGGAGCCTCAGTAGGTAGACACTGTGCTTGTCTATACAGGAACTTCAGTCTGGCATTCGCTTTCTTTACTACACTGTTCCCTATCAATTCTCCTGACATGCATGGGTCAAAGGGGATTCCCAAATATTTTACTGATGAAACCAAAGTGATGGGCTCCCCATTACATTGAACATTAAAATTATTTACCCTTCTCAGTTTATGTTTTGTGCCAAAGAGAATGGCTTCAGTTTTCCCTAGGTGTAATGATAGTTTGTTGTCTACTAACCATTTGCTGCAGGACTCCAGTTCCAGTGTTAAAACATTAGCAATATCTGTGGGTCTTTACCTGACACTAACAGAGCTCTGTCATCTGCATACAGTAGGAGTTTGCACTTGACACTGATAGGCATATCATTGACATAACATAAGAATAATAAGGGACCCAGAATACTACCTTTGGGAACTCCACATGTTATCGGCAGGGGTTCTGATTCTGTTTTGTTGATTTTGACTATTTGTCTCCTGTTGCTAAGGTAGGACTTAAACCAGTCTACAGAACCTATACCAATAGCTTGAAGTTTATTACATAATATATTGTGGTTGACAGTATCGAAGGCCTTTTGCAGGTCTAAGGTTACCATACCTATGAGGTTCCCCTTTGACATTTCAGTTCTCAGGTAATCCATCAGATTAATAAGGGAGGTGTCGGTTGAGTAGGATCTTCTAAAGCCCGATTGATAGCTATGGAGAATGTTGTTGTCATTAAGGTACTTAACTACTTGAGAATACACCGCCCTCTCTAGAATTTTAGATATTATACTGAGTATACTAACAGGCCTATAGTTGCTTACATCAGACCTACTATTTTTCTTGAAGATAGGAGTAACTCTGGCCTCCTTGAACCCCTCCGGTACGGTATTAGTGGTGATTGATAGATTTATTATGTGAGCAATAGGGATTGACAGTTCAGGAGCACCATCTTTTAGGAACTTAGACGGGATGTTATCAGGGCCTGTGCTCTTAGTTGGGTTTAACCTGCTTAGTTCTTTTTGAATAAAGTCATGAGATACACTTACTAGTTGACAACTATTTGGGGTTACCCCTTTATTGGTATAGTATGTTTGAAACTTATCAGAGCCCTGTGTTAAAGGTATTTGATGCAGCTGGTAGTTTACTTACTAGTGTTGATGCAACAGATGTGTAGTATGAATTAAAGCAATTTGCCACCTTAGATGTTTCGTGGCATACCTCATTATCGATAGTGAGTACTATGTTAGACCTATCTACTGGCTTATGGCTATACCCCAACTGTTTTAGTTGTTGCCAGAGCTTTCTGGGGTTATGCTTATACTCTTCAATTTTTGAGCAGTAGTGCTTTGCCTTTGCTCCTTTTATAAGTCTCTGTACTCTGTTCCTCACCCTTTGGAATTCATTTAGTGCTGCAATATCCTGTCTGTTTGCTTTAAATCTTTTAGCAGCTGGTCTCTGAATTTCATATTATCTAATATCTCAGTATTCATCCAGGGTTCAGTTCTTCGTTTAATCCTAACCTCTTTAACTGGTGCAATATTATCAAGGATGGTAGTGAACATTGTTTTGAATTTTTCCCAGGCATTGTTTACGTCCGTGCAACTTGTTATCTCTGTCCAGTCACAATTGTGTAGCCTATTTACCAGTGTTTCTTTACTGTAGTTTCTAGTTGACCTCATTTTTATTGTCCTGTGTAGGCCTATCCTATCCCTAGTGATTTTCCTGGTGCAGTAAATGATGAAATGATCACTAAGACCTGTGGTAATGACGCCTGACTAACTAATGTTCTCAGAGCGGTTACAAAGTATGTGGCCAATTAGGGTGGCTGAGAACTGTGTGATCCGGGTTGGAGTATTAATTAGTTGAGTGTAACTGTTTAATCCTAGAATTTGCTTATACCTTTTGCATAGCCCGTTATTTTGCTGCTGAAAACAGAT